TTTATATATATTTTTAAAAAATATTATACCATTTATGCTTATAATTAGATAATTTATTAAAATATCTGAGATAAGATAATAAGTTTAGAAAAAGAAAATATTCCTAGTAATGTTTAATTTTTGGCTGATATCCCAAATTTGTTAAATCTCTCGTCATAATTGTTATAGCTTCGGAAGAAATCGATTTAAGTGGTGCACGAGGTAGTCCTGCATCAATGTCAGTAAGAAGAACCATTGCTTTCTTCATAGTTTGCACCCAATTACCTGCAAATAATCATTAATTAAAGTACTACTACATACTTTGTCAAAGCCAAAAACAATATTTACCATGTTTCGTAATAATAACTACGATGTTTGAAAGCTTTTCTTGCATATCCCTAGCTCTTAATGTATCTCCATTTTTGCAAGCAGTAAGAAGATCTAATATAAGTTCCGGAAACATGTTTATGCTGGTTAATATGAAGGAATCTATTCCTAATGCAGACGCCGCGTTTATTAACTAAAGAATTACAAAATTAAATATTTCTATTATATTGCAATTAAAGAGCGCATATCGAAATAAAAAATAAACCAATATATTACTGATTAATAATTGATCAGGCAAAGTTACTGGCTATTATGGTTCATCATTTATTTATAAAGCCTTAAATCCTAATAATTTCGTTCATTACCTGATCATTTCCAAGAAAAATAGTATATTTTCTATTATTGGCACGTAGCGCTTGTGCTCCTTCTTCTAAATTGGCACTAGTGAATTTTATACCCACAAATGAGGGTATTTTATCACCAATCGATTCAAGAAATTGACCCATGTGTACTGCAAAATGTTTGCGCATAATATTTAGAATTCAAATATATGATGTATAAATATAGTAATTATTATTTCAGTTGATTATGCGCATCGTGAATGTCAAACATCGCTTACTGTTAACATTAGTGAACATAGGAATATGGTAATATAATAATGGTGTTTTTGGCGCTGCATTGCCAATTATTTGCAAGTATTCAATTAATTGTTCAGGAGTAGTAGGTTTGAAATACAACTCTGGTAAGCACAATATAGAATCCACGCGCAGACTAGCTGCATGTTTCGCCTGTATAAATATTATTCCCATTTTAATCAATCACAGAAATGAATCATTGAAATGAATGTTATTCTCTGCATATATTAATAATTATATTCACAAGTTCGATAACATCGGGAAGAGAAGCGCCTCCTACTTGAATCATCAAGTGTTGCTTTGTTTCTTTCAAAAGAACTGCCTTTACCCAAGCTTCAGTAATAAGTTTTCTTTCAGCAATAGACATTGACATTCCTTCACCACTTGTGCCATTAACTGTAAAAAGAGATGCAAAATTTATTTTAATTTTAAAATGAGTATCATCTGTCGTATATCTTTTTTTGAAATAATTTTTAGACAAAATTAATTTTAGCAGGAATTTAATGTGATTAATATTATTTAAATAATTATGATTGAATTTAATAATAACTTACCAAGTATACCTTTGATTCCTTTATTTGCTAAATATGTTGCATATTGTGGTATAATATCTAAATTGAGCGAGCTATTAAATGAATATCAATCATTATCTTTTATTGTAATATTAATAATTATTAATAGTTATTAAAACTCTTTATTAAAATATAATTACCCATCATTATTGAAAGGAGTTAACACAGGGACAATAAGACCTCTATAAGTATATGACAATTGCTGTAATTATAAAAATAATTATCAACTATATAAAAATTTATTTTATTTACTGTCAAAAATTTTGACAAAAACTTATTTTTGTCATTAGTGATATATTAGTGATATATTACATACAAATTAAAAATATTAATTTGCTTTGTTTACACTTACTTCATTTTCCATTTAAATTAAAAAAGTTATTTTAGGTGTAAACAAATTATTTATTATAATTTTTAGATAAAAAAATATGTAAATTTCTATTTTTTTAAATAAATTTTTAAAATTTAAGGCTCCTGAATAGTCACCGCGGCAATATTGGAATCGTAACATCATAGGCGAGAAATGACATAGTAAAGTTTATTGCACTAATTTCGTAAATAAAGAGATATTTGACTGAAATAACATCTGATATGGCTTTAAGATACTTGTAAAAATAGGCAACTGCTATCCTTTCTCTTCCTATAATTAGAATAACTAGTAAAAGGCATATGAAATGAAGTGTATTCAAACAGAAAAACACACGATTTGACAGCTGTTGAAAGAAGTAGAAAAAGTGTATTTAATGTCCGAATATAATTTTAGCTGCCACTCATTTTTACGAATCTAGTAAGTATAAAACAAGTCACATCTGCATGACTAAGAACATAATAACAAAAATAGCTACAATAAAAAGTTTCGTTGTCCGCACATCAGTTATATAAAGATAAACAAGAACAAGTATAAGACAAACAAGGATGAATTTCTATTTTTTTTCTGTGACGATACATCGCTATCGTCAACACAGAGTTCTTAATTGAGTACTGAAGAGCTTAAAAAAAGTAACCTTATCATACACAACACATATATATATTTTATCACACACTTCAAAAAAAGTCTTGAAATAAGTGTAATAAATAGATTTCTTTTATTCTGATATTATAGAATTATTCAAATTTTTAGAATCTTCACTCAATCTTTTAGAATCTTCAGAAAAAAGAAAAAACAATGCAAATTCAATTAAGAAGGACAGACTCATGAGCGTGCGTAATGCTAGATTGTTTTTTTACGCAGACGCTCACAAATATTTATAAATTACTAATTACTGCCAAAATTACAAGAAAGATAGAAAACTACTAAATAGAAAACTTTTCTATTTAGTATAACCTGTTTTATACGCCCATATGTGACACTAATTCACACTAATTATAAAATACTTTATAATTCTACAGTTGATTGTCTTTATTTCTTCTTCATTTTTGCGGTGTGTGTGTGTGTGTGTGTGTGTGTGTGTGTGTGTGTGTGTGTGTGTGTGTAT